AGTTGTCCAAAGAACGGCTTATCAAATAGGAACTTGTCGATCAGAAATGGAAATGGAGGTGTTGGTTCAGTTTTTTGTTGATGTGAGGCCTCCAACTACTTTTTTTTATTTTTTGAAGAATGATGTCGGAAACGTAAAAGAGAAGATCTGCGACCTTTTTGTTTACAGTCCATATATAAATAAATGCAATGAGAATGTACGCATATACACAGTGAGTGTGTGTTTATATATAAATATATCTATACCTATCTCTCTCTCTCTCTCTCTCTCTCTCTCTCTCTCTCTCATTCTCTCTCTCTCTCTCTCTCTCTCTCTCTCTCTATATATATATATATATATATATATATATATATATATATATATATATATATATATATATATATATATATATATTGACTATGCGTTTGTTTTCAATATACTAATAAATGAGGGAGATAACTGCAATACAGCAAGGGAAGTGGTGAATTGTGGATAGATTGTCCCAAACGAGCTTGACCTTGTGAGGCCGGTTGAGGGTAGCAGGGCAGGGGGGGGGAGGCACACCACTGAGGCTCGGGGTCATTCACATGGCCAGCCTAGATAAATTTACATAATTTATTTAAATCTTTAATTCCTTTTATTCGTTTTTGTTTCTATCATTTAGGAAGCTTCGATACGTAGAAGTTCCAATCTGGTGTCCTTGGTAAATGTCTATAAGATTGTATTAAGTCTTTTTAAAATCATGATTTCAGAAAGATTTATATATCCATGCAATAATCTACACATGTAATTTTAGGAAGATATTTTTTTTACAAAGATGTACAGTCCTACACATACTTATTATAAGCAGACGCCAAAATTTTCCTAAAATCCTTGGCCTTCTCTTCAAATGGCGGGGAAAATGGTATCGCGGAAGTTGAATGAAATTATGATATGAGAGATAATAACGCTCCTTAACACTGTCTGATACTTATTTTTCCTATACGAATATTGATCGATTATATTAGTGAAAGTGAAACTGATAAATTGTGTTAAAACCGCTCTCAACAACTCAAATATAAATGTACTTTTTTCTTCACGAATAAAGCACCGAAAAACATCTATTCACCATTCTAAATTCACTATACAAAAGAAATACATGACTAAGTAGGACACTGGTCTGCTCCTAGACACTATAGGGTCCTTAAAATCCTTGTAACTAGGGCACAGAAAAAGTGAACTCAAGGCCGGCGCCCATAGCCCCTAACAGTTACTATGGCTTAAGGAATTCCCGCTTCCTCGCTCTCACTCACGGGCAGAATGTATAGGATGGGCGATGTAATAGCCTTTCATGCTATCTATCTATCTATCTATCTCTATATGTATATCAGTCTATCTATGTCTATGTCAATCTATCTATTATCTATATTCATTCATCAATCCATTCATATCCATATCTATCTATCTATATATATATGCATACACACACACACACACACACACACACACACACACACACACACACACACACACACACACACACACACACACACACACACACACACAGATATATATATATATATATATATATATATATATATATATATATATATATATATATGTATATATATATATATATATATATATATATATATATATATATATATATATATTATAATCAGAGAGGGAGAGAAAGAGAGAGCGAGAGAGAGAGAGAGAGAGAGAGAGAGAGAGAGAGAGAGAGAGAGATGAACACACATACATTTATAGACAGATATATAGTTTTATAAATCGATATATAGATAAGAGAAAAATACTTGTCAGTTGCCTGTCAGATGAAAAAATAAAGCACGTTTATGTTTTTTTTAATATTAACTGACACAAAAACAGAGGTAACTTAACGGTGCCATTGAGATCTGTTTGGAACTCGCAGACGAGAGGAGCAATATTGCAAGAAACCGGGTCATGTTGCGTATGAACTTCTGGCGCCACTGCTAGTACGACTCAAGACACGCACAGACGGACATACGCACTGTTTTGTATGCGTACGTATTCGCACACTACAAACGCAGACGAAAAATATACAGGAAAACTGCCTATCTGTAGACACTGAAATGTCTAATTAGCATATCCTGAATTAACAATAGTTCAGATTTCTCCTCGTTATCATTTGATATATGTATATCCTAGTCGCATAAAAATAGACTTTTATTCACATCAACTTTTTAAAATGTGTACGTTTTCTTTTTAGCGTTTCCTTTCATTCATTCAGAAATGCACCTGTGTCCAAGCCTTCATGATTAGGCATATTCCCGTTGACCGAGGTTTAAATAAGAATTAATTGTATATTTAGGGTAGGAACACGTCCTCCTCACACTTAAATATGAGCTCGCTTTTGGTCATAATCATAACAATGTTGTGCTACTTGTTCGGACAGAGCAAGTTAAATATGCTTTTAATAATTCCATTGACAAGGGAGAAACTGAAGTCTGGTGCAAATTTATCCAAAGTTATATTTACTTCTGATGTATTGCTATATGTTAATGTTTACGAATTGATATAAATCCCGAAGAAAAAGTAAAGTTTAGTTTAATCTGATTCGGTTGCTTAACGGATAACCAAATCGTAAATTTAACGGTTCCAGGAAGGAAAAAATAAAAATAAATAAACAAATAAAAAAATAAATAAGAAAAGAGTAAAGAAGTAAAGAACACAAGAAATTCAAAACTTCTCACTTCAGGGATAGGAGGTCACTTGTTTCAGGGTCAGCCGTCTTGAAATGCGACACCACGTGACCTGTCCTTTACAATCGTTTCCTGTTCTGCCGGTTAGTTAATTTTTATTTTTTTCTTCGTTTCTGTTCGGCTCTTTGTCTTCTTCCCCTTTTCTCTATTTCCCTTCCGTTTCTTCTTCACATGTCCTTTTCAGTTAGTCTCCTTTTCATTCCTGTTCTAAGTCATGACCGCGTGTTTACCTCAATTCAATTTTCTTTCCAGGGTTGGCAACAGGCGTGACACGGGGAGAGCCACGTTTAAGGGGTGACTTAAAAATAGTAACGAAAGGGTTTCCACCGGCGCTCTCATGACACTTCCCCCCCCCCTTTCCTTGTCCTCATTCCTTTACAGTGAGATCCGCAGGGTCATTGTTGTCGTTTTTATTTATAACGTGTGTAAGTGCATTATAATATGTTACGCGTCCTTTAATTATAATATATCATAGTATATTCTTTAGCTATAACCATTGCAACTATTTACTAAAATTGCTATCACCATTACCATTATTGTTGTCATTCCTATTTAAATTGTCATTATCCTTTTTATACCTATCATCACTGCCGTTTTTATAACAATCGCTAATCATCACCACTAATGATTATCGATATCAGCACCAGTAATGTTATACGCTATAAACATCATTATTGTTACTGTCATCATGATTATCATTTTTGTGTCTATAGTAATATGTTCCGAGAGTTACTCGGAATATATTATCCACATTTGGGTACATATTAATTACCTCGTTAAGTCTGGTCCTGAATCTTGCAATAACGCATTTTGTACCATTCATAATGTGTGCATTTTAAATTCTATATCAATACCAAATCAGTGACGTGTTAATGATCACTCTAATACTTTACTTTCATCACGTGGGGTAAAATTACAATCATATCACGAAGGTAGTATATATATTTTTTTTAACTCAGTTCAGCAGATTTCTAATACCTCAAGATACAAATAGACTACTAAAATACCTAAAACTCATAACGTATCAGTATGACTGCGCCAAAGTTAGCGTACAGGATGAGACACATGACAACGTTAGCGTAAGTTGTTTCATTCATGAGAACGACGAAGCGGGGAAATTTCTTTGGCGAAAGGAATCTCAATAAACGAGGAAATAAGTTCGGTAAAACGTTTTTTTTTTCTTACTTCTTGTTTAAGTGTTGGTCAGTGTTATAGTTCTTAAGTAAATTTGACTTTCAGAATCTTCAAGTAAAACTAAATTCAGCTTTACTTATATGCTGGAAATAAACTATAAACCGACGAGAAAGCAGATGACGTCACAGAAGCAAACGCAGGTCATGTAAACAAATAAACATTCTTGGACATACTGCGCTTTTCTCGCATTGCAGAGGGCGTGAAATTCGCAGACATTTCATTGAACAAATCAATCCCCTAATGAAATTAACAAAAAAACAAAAGAAAAGAAAAGGAAAGAAGAGAATATAAATTGTTTTTCGATCCCGATTAGAGCCAACGGGACAGCGATAGAGCAAGTGTAAATAAACTAATTGTGTCTACTCTACAGCTCCCCCGTTCGATTTCGGATCCGAATCTGGGTCACTGTGTCTACTGTGTAATCTTGTTTTAATTTTTATATTGTTGTCCTTAATTTGTATGTATATATGTGTATACATATATATATATATATATATATATATATATATATATATATATATATATATATATATATATATATATATATATACATACCATCAACCATATACGATAATGATAATGATAGCCTGCAAAATCAAATCCGATCAATTTATCGTACTATCTCACTGATAGAAAACACGATTATTTCAACCATTCTAAATCATTCTCACCAAAATATACAGCCAACACACGCTCAAAAAAATAAAACTAGGACAATGACCTCTCTCATATATCGCAAAATATCACAGATTCCCCAGCGAAGGGTCGCATGATGCTTATATCTCCGTGCTGTAATAAGAGCCAAAATTAACCTGGAAATGGATCGATCGACGGAGGCTGGAGATACGACGCAGGAGAAGACCATCTAATGCGAGCCAGTATAAAAAAAAAATTGATGAATAAATAATAATGATGTTTGAAAAAAAAATGTATGTATGTTTTGCAGAATAAGACTACGGGTTATGTAAAATAGGGGATATGATTTGAAAACGGGATGAAGGTACTATGTAAATAAATGTTTTTTTCCCATGATTAGAAATTGGTATAACACGTCAGTCTTATCTCAGCCTTTAGTAAACGGCTTATGACTGCCTGCCAACTTACCTCTCTTCCTGAAATAAAGCGCTTGGAGTTACGTCTTCCCTCTGTCACGTTTCCAACCACACTGGCGGGCTCCGGCCTTGCCTGGCCTCAAGCCTTGGGGCATCTTGGCCCTCCCCATGCCCCCTACCCCCCACTGCCCAACGATGCCCAGCGAGGCGACAGTGCCAGTACTCTCGTCTTGGCCTCGGAGGCTCTCTGTGTTATGGTTTGTGTACATGTTTTTCGTTTGTTTGAAAGTGAGAATGTGTTTTTTTTTCTATACACGTGCTTATACGTGTGTGTGTGTGTGTGTGTGTGTGTGTGCGTGCGTGTGTGTGTGTGTGTGTGTGTGTGTGTGTGTGTGTGTGTGTGTGTGTGTGTGTGTGTGCGTGTGTGTGTGTGTGTGTGTGTGTGTGTGTGTGTGTGTGTGTGTGTGTGTGTATACAGTGTACATGTGTGTGTGTCAATGCGCATGTGCTTGCATGTATACATGTTTGAGCGTGCGTGTATAAGTATACCAATGCTGAATAATTTTCCCGTTTAAATCATGAGCAAATTACACAAAACACCATTTCTGTTAACTCTGGTCCCATGTAGTTTTGTTTGCGTTAGACATACTAAATAAAACTAGTATAACAAAAAGTAACACATAAAAATAAACTCTTGGTTAATAATTTCACGTTTTTTTTTATTCTTCAATTTTCTATGAATGGAGAGACTCCAAAAGGAAAAATAAAACAAAGTTCAATGAGACAAATATAGAAAATTGTACGAATGAGAATGAATGCCATAACCGAAACACATTAAATACATCTCATGCAATTTGAAAGTTACTGATTCCAATACATACCTATTTCTACAAAGCAAACAAACGCACTATGCGAAAAACAAGCAAAAGTGTTTTAATACATTATCAACAAACTATAACACTGCTGGATCAAGGCTTTCTAAAACAAGCACGCGGGAAACACGCTGCAACGACGGATGATCCCAACGGAAAAGGATCTTATCTGCTATTTGCTTTCAAACTGGGGAATTGGAATGCATTTGTGCGCTGCTTTGGTGTTGAGCGTGAGTGGGATAGTGAGAGAGACAGGAAAGGGGGAAAGGAGAGAGACATACAAGGCGAGGGAGAGGGAGGACAAGAGGAAAGAAAGATGGTTAGATAGAGACTTGAGGGCGAGAGGTGGAGGATAGAAAAGGAGAGAAAAGGAGAGTTGAGAGGAAATAAAATTAGTGACCCATCATGTTATCGTTTTCTATATTTCCTTTGCTCGGTGAAACCCATGGAATGACTGAGCCTACCTTTAGAGATCATTTCCAGCATTTGTCCTTCATAATCTGTGACTTTGATCTTATCCTAATGTTAAATCCAATTCAGTTTCCGCCTGAAATATTTCTTCTACATCGTTGTAACACCAAACAAATCTTGCTTACTGTAGATTCCATTGTCCTTTATTACTTCTTATCAACTGAGACACCCTTTTACAGTCTACATATATAATTTCTCCACCAATAGATTTGGTTCTCGTAGTATATGCAGAGACTTCAACCCATCAGTTGTGGTGTTTGTTCTTCAGGGTTACACTCATAAAGCATCATGAAGAACTAGGGTATGCTTAATACATTTCTTGTATATTGGAGCCAGTCGTGTACTTATGCTAATATTCCACTTCGTTTTAAACACGCTGATCCCCTGGTTCAACAGATTTCTTCATTCTTGTACACAGATCCGCATTTCAGTTCCCAATTCGAGACTGAAACGCTATAGGGACTTTATTTCCACTGGCAAATTACAGAACAATGTCCCAGTTAGGAGTATACCCTAGTTAGGGTTATAGCTGGGAACCCGGAAGGCGAAGTATCCTTATATATTTAAGCTTGATGAGAAAATATACATGGCAGTGAAAATCACTTATCTATATATTTGAACCGGAACAAATATCATTTCTACCTGTACAAAAATACGTTTTAATATAAACGAGCATCATCGGGGGTACCCTTCCATTCGAGGCCCAGGAAAGTAGTGAAATGTGCCTCCCCCCCCTTATTTTATTATCAGACATGGCAATCACAAATCAACTCTTCCCTCTATAGAGCTAGTGATTTTTTTCATTCTTTAGGTTGGCTGTTTCCACCGTGTATTTGAGTGTGAAAGCCGGTTAATGTGACGTCACATTCTTAGGCCCGACAACTTGGATTGGATTAAACTCGTGCCAACTTGATGCATGTGTGGAGTCAAAAGCTTTTGGTGACGGAGATTTATAATT